TCTATAACCTGAAATGAAAGTGGAATTGTAGGGCAAACAGCCAGGGAGGCAGCTCCTAGTTCCAGGCATTTTCCATGTCTGTGGGCTCCTCCACAGCTTCTCACCCACAGGGTCTCTGAGGAACGTCCTCTCACACTCCCAAGGGCAATGAGAGCTAGAACTGAAATAAGAAGTGACCAGCACCTCACGCAGATAAGAACGGGGAGTCGCACACAAGGGCCAGGGCCACCTGTGCTCAGGGCAGCAGCTCAGCAGAAGAAAAGCAGTACTTTACACAGCGTTTCATTTTGTTTTGGTTTTCGATTTTGACAGGGTCTCATACAGCCCAGGCTGGCTTTGAACATGCTGTGTAGCCAGGGCTTGAACTCTTGATCCTCCTGCAACCCCCTCCTAAGTGCTGGGGTTACAGACATGTACCATCTGGTGGCAACAGCACTTCTTCAATACTCATTATCTTCATGGGTTTTCTAACTTAAAAAAAAAAATCTGGGGGGCTGGAGAGATGGCTCAGCGGTTAAGAACACTGACTACTCTTGCAGAAGACCCAGGTTCGAATCCCAGCACCCACATGGCAGCTAACAACTGTCCGTAACTCCAGTCCCAGGGGATCCAATGGCCTCTTCTGTCTTTCCGAGGGCTTTGCACGACATGGGTGCATTTACCTACATGCAGGCAATACACGCATACACATAAAATAAAAATAATAAATAAAACATATTTTAAAAAATCTGTTTGGGAGCTTGTGGCACAGAGGAGAGATGCCCCAAATTAGCACACCTTAGCACTGCCAGGGCTGGGACTGTGATCCTAGAGGGAAGCCAACCTTTCAGGTCATGTGCTGCTCACACAAGGTCCAGGAAAGGGATGGAGGGCCAGTGGCCAGCATAGGCTGACACATGCGAATGTGATGGGGACAGTGGCAGTCTCCTTAGACATGGCCAGGCTGTCAGAAGATTATGATGGTATAGGGTGAGGGGGCTCCTGCTAGGCCAGAACCAGGAGCAGGGAGCAGCTCCTTTCAACTGTATGGTACTCCTCATGTGCCTAAGTGGCTGTGGCTTTTCTGCAGAAGACAATTCTAGTAGGCTTCCTTGGACAGCTCAGAAAGGCTGTGAGCCCACATCAGGGTAACAAAAGGGACAAGCCACAAGCAGTGAGCCAGGGTACAGCCCGGGTACTGGGACAACTGTTCGTCATAGTGGTCCACTGTGTGTGATGGGTCAACTGTACCCAGTTGAACACCCCACAGCACAGCTCTATGAGGACAGAGACACCAACTCCCAACACGCCTGACACAATGCTTCCCAAGTGCAAGCCATGTTAGGATGGAAGTGGTATTACTGATAGTCCTTGGATGTCATCATCAGTAGGAGGGTCCCTCTACTCCCCACTTGCAAGTTACTGATGTCAGTTATTTAGCCTCTGCCTGCCACAGCTCACCACTCAGACATTCTGTGCCTGGCACAGAATGCCACTGGAGACCAAACAGAATGCACCCAGGGACCCTGCATGTTGCAGCCAAGGTAAGAGCCCTAGAAGGGACATCCACTGTGGTAGGCAGCAGGTTCATACAGGAAACCACCTTGTGCACACATTTTCTACTATCATCAGACAGAGACCCTGACATTAATGAGCTTCAAATGCACTTTAGTCTGTCTGCAGTTCTTGCCATTTGGCTCAGGTTTTATTTGTTTATGGCCGGAGTGTGTGAAGGAGGCTTATAATTTTATATGTTAAAAAGACCTCCATGGTTAAATACAAAACATTTGACCCACGGTCTCAACGCTTAGGATTATTAACGGTCTGCAGAAAGGCAAAGATAAAAAGCCCAGCATACAAAAGGCATGATTTCCTAAGCAGGCATGTGAAGACCCTTACAAAGAGGTTAAGAATCATTACTGCACCCACCTGCCCAAGGCACCCACAGTGCCTCCTGACCCACATTTGTAGCTTTCAGTGTAAGACCTAGAGTAGTGTTCAGAGCTTCAGGACATGAAAACTCAATTTCCAGAGTCCAGGGACATGTGCTCAGAGGGTTCACCCCAGAATCTTCGGCTCTTGGAACACGGCCTACAACAATCAGCATTTCTCACTCTAATGAAACACCTGAGGCAGGCTGCTTACAGCTCACAGTTTGGGAGGCTGGAAGTCCAATTCAGGCAGTGCTCACTGGCTTAGCCCCTGGCACTACATCACGGTGGGTTGTACGGCCCATCCATGAGACAGGAACTACATCTCCAAGAGGAAGCCAGAGGAAGAGGCAGCCGGTTTATATGCTAGGACTTCATGAGGACTTCATGAGGATTTCAAAGGGACTTCATAAGGACTTTACAAGGACTCTCATACTGCCAGACACAAAGCCTTTAGCACATGGACCCTCAGGGACACTCAGACCATCTGTAAGCCACAGCCAGGCTAGCCACAAAGTAGTACTGAGTAAATACTTATGGGGTGAAGAAATGAAAGAATGAATCAATGACACACACGACTCAGGAATTTAAGAAGTGTTTTAGTCTCTTTTTGGAGAACTTAAACTCAATTAATTTGACTATAGTGGCTCCTAAGAGAAACTTAAGGGCACAGTATACATGTGGTACAAGCCAAGTAAAGTCACCCACCACCATCACTTCTGGATATGGCATGTGACCCCCCCCCCCCCCCGGGGGGG